CGTGTTCCCTAGGCAGGCAAAACGCACAGGGATGAGGAGCGGAGTGAAGGGTGAGAATGGCCAGCTCTTTAAGAGGTGAAGTGCTGAATCTGTACAAAAACGTAAGTGTCTCCAGCGCCGCTGGCGCTTTTCCTTACGTTGGTAAGAGCCTTTTGCTACGAATTCCATCTAAAAAATCCTCTTTCTTTTCCCCTCAAGCTGCTGTACCTTGGAAGGGAATATCCCAAAGGAGCAGACTACTTTAGAAGCCGCTTGAAAGCAGCTTTCCTAAAAAACAAAGATGTCAAAGACCCTGAAAAAATTAGGGAACTAATTGCGCGAGGGGAGTTTGTGATGAAGGAGCTGGAGGCTCTGTACCACCTCCGGAAGTACCGCGCCATGAAGCAGCGCTACTACSACGAGGACAACAACTAACCAGCCGCCCACGGGGCGGTACAAACCGGGAAGATGAACCCAATAAAGGAGCTGTAACTGCTCGGGCAGTGGAAAGCACGTGCTTGGCACCCCSCAAGGGCCTGCAAGCTGCTGCGGAGGCCCCCGGAACCCGCTAAGGGATTGCTGGCAGGACTGGGGCGGGGGGAGGTTGTGACGGGGGTTATAGGTTTTTTGTCAACTCTTACTGTCCCTGAGCTGGTGAATGAAAATACCTGTATAGGAAGGAGTGGTAGAACAGCCGTGTTCAGCTGCACTTCAGCATCGATGCTGAACAGGCAGCTTTTCACATTTATCTGAAGAGCTGTTTGCTCGCACGGTGATTCAGGTTGCCACATTTCTTTTATGTGGGAGATTTACCTGGTTTTGAAAGTCCCCTGAGATTAATGATCCCTTTTCCTCCACAGATGAGCACTTTCTCAAACATAAAGCAGGTTCTTAAATGTTTTGACAGCGTCTGCCTAACACACGTGGGTTGGCAGCCTGGCAGAGGAACCATCCTACTGCATTAACAAGACACTGCAGGGTTAGGAGGAAGGCAAAGCAGAGCAGGAATGTCCCACGTGCAGGGAACCCAAGGACAGTTCCTGCTAAGCCACCTCAGGAAGTGGGAATAACTACTGCAGCAGGAATATGAAACAGGATCCTGGTGCTCCCTCTTTGACCACCCTGGCTCCCCCAGCATAAGCCTGAGCTGTAGCATTTCTTCTTGATACACTGCTTAGCTCTACAGGGGAAAAAAATAAGTGACACCTGAGGTGGAGGAGAAGTAACCTTTGAAACAGAGGTAAGGAATCAGCTCAAAACTGCTGGCACAGCAATTGTTTTTACACATGTAAATCCCAGAATCATATCCAAAAAATTAAAATAAGCAAGAGGGTAAGCTCCCTGGAGAGGGAGTGCGTGAAGATGAAGTTTCCAGCACCACACTGATCTGAGCAATAGTCCATCCATAGCAAGGGAGCTTATTGACTCCCGTGTCACCTTTAACGCACTTTAAGGGGGTTAAACTGTTCAGGAGCGTCCTTCGTGTTTCCTGGGAGCTTCCAGAAGGTGTTACAGAAGCAACCTGCCGGCCAGCTGGAGAAGGAATGCAGAACAGCCACTCGGGCTCCTTTAACATGCGGGCAAGTTCAGATCAAGGTGGTGGTAGCCAAGGAGGAGGTCACTGTCACACGAGCGCGAGCTCTCCCCTCCTCTCAAGGGAGCTCGGGTGAAGGGGGAAGCCCGAGTGTGCGCGAGGCACCAGCCTGCGGGAAGCAGAGCCCTGCTCAGCAGCAGGACAACGCACACGGACCCAGGCGCATCGGCCTTGCAGGGTGCCTGGTCGAATGCTGCGTCCCCTCTGCGAGGGAGGCAGAGACAGCAGCGCTGTGGCTGGCCCCGAGAAACGCAAGGAAGGAACTGAAGAAGTGGCTGAACACGCGCAGCTCCTGGGGTGCTCCCTTCCAGAGATGGGCGCTGAGCGGCCTGGAGAGAAACGCCAGCAGAAACTCACAATAACTATTTTTTTTTTATTACATTACAATAAATAGGAGCAGTACAGTTTGACAAAAAATGACAAATTCCAGATCACCTCACAGCACATACTCCTAGAAAACATTAAAATTCTTAAAAACGAACAGTGGTCTTTTTAATTTTAACTTAATGTCTGCTCTGACCAACATTCCCAGGTCACGCAACCAAATGATGGAAAAAACTGGATCACACTGCATATGTTCCACATCAAATAAAGCACAATGTACAAAATGTGCATGTTTCAGTTTACACTATACAAAAATAGTTAAAATACATTCCAGGTAAACATATTACATTAAGAAATCGTTGTAGTAAGAAGTTGGCACTCAAGAGGAAAAAGCAGAAGTATTTTCAACATGAAAACACAAGACAGTGGAATAAAGAAATGTTAGGAAAGATTTTACCATCTCTGTAGCTTTATGTAAACTTCACACAGAACGATTCGTTTGCGGTTTGATGGTCTTTGAAGGTAATTGTATTGCTTGGTTGTACAGGTAGGAGTGGAAGATGATGTATCAGTAATTACCCTTGCAGAAATCCCAGTTATTTTTAAAGAATTTTCAAACTTTTTCCAAAACTTCTAAGTTAGCAAAACCTTTAGAGCAGTGCAGCTGGTTGTGAGAATTAACGTTCAGCTTTGAGAGAAGCAATGACAAGGTTGTCTACCAGAGTTACATAAAGCTACTGGAAGAAGGTGTTGCTCCCTGACACGTGGCAACTTAACGGGTTAATGTTGTACATGATTCACATGTTTGTTGAGTAGTTGCCATCAGAAAAGACAGCATCCAGGTATGGTCTTTAAAAGCATTTCAAGTAGGGAGGGACAGAATAATAACAAAATCAACTTGTGCAAGCTGCAATCCAACATGCTTCACCAAATCTCTACAAATATTAAGACAAAACTGCACAACAGTGGCAAGGATGTAATTTCTGAAAGTGAATAAGGGCTAATCTAAATAGATTTTGTACTAATTTAATTAGATTGGTTTATTGAAACAAAGAAAAAWGCATTTCATATATAGCTTTGTATTATAGCTATACACATACACATTTGATGATTAAAGCTTTTCAATTTAATTGGCTTTCCCAAAAGTTTAATTGAATTAGCCTACAAACTTTCAGTCTGGCCCTAATTTTACATGCAGTGTGACTCAGTTACCAAAATTCACAAATCTTGCGATTACCTTTGTGTGTTCAAGGTATGCTATCCACTTCTGCTACCTTCTTCACATACATCAAGAGGGTGTCTAAAATACGTAAATAACCAACTATGTCCAAAATGTTTTAGCCTTAGAAGTTGTAACATCTATTGTGACATTAAGGATTTATTCCTGTTCCTTACTGGTCCTTACGATACACTGCTAGGTTCTCCTACCACCATCTTCCAGAGTACTTTGTCATCTATAGAGTAGCTTTCCCATCAAAGCTGCACGAGGCTTTCTGTTTTGGTGAGGACTGGATTTTTCAGGGAGGAGGGATGGAGRGGAGCAAGGGAAGACATTCATTTGTTAAGTTCTCTCAGCCACAAATAAATTAGAAGAACATGCAGCAATGCAGAGAGTATCCTCGGGGCTTCCCCTGCCAGCTCTGCAGCTCTTGGAGAGCTGCTGCTCTTTTATTTGTCCTTTGTAGAAGCACAAGAATAATTCTTGTTTGCAAGTTGCACCTTTGACACCATATAAATGGTCTAAGTTACACTGACACATGAAAATCCTACTGTGTAAAACTCAGAGCATAATTTAGATGTCAAGGTTTAGGGATAGTTTAGGTTAGGGTGTAGCTGCTATTGCCTCTTCAAAGCTAAAAATGTCCCAGTCCAGGGTCCTGACTAGAGACACTTCATTTCTTGTCATCTTTCAGGGTACACCGGAGTCACATTCCCAGTCACTTTTACTCGGCACCTATCTGAGCTGGGTGCTAATAAAAACTGCACCTTCGGGAACTGAGGCCCTAACTAAAACCATCAAACACTGCAGCGTCTGTAAGAAAGACAAGAGGAACTGGTAGCACTGGAGTTACTGGCTCTTACTTGGGTGCAGCCTACCTATTTTACTGCAGTACCAAAAATGAGAGCTGCAAAAATTCTGTGTTAATTCCAATCAGGAAAAAAAAAAAAGTCAAAATTAAAAAAAAATACAGAGAAAACATTAAAATCTTGGTCTAGCTTCATGACACACTAGACACTGGAATGCCACTCACCAACTATTTAATCTGTGCAACAGAACTAGTATTTCACAAACACCACACAAACAACATTGACTATGGAAACCATGATCTATGCTGAACATTTGTGCAAATTCCACATTTTTATGGCATAGTGATTTCCAAATTAATTGCTAAAAGTCAAGCTACTGATTTGAGGTTACTGTGATTTAAAATTCCTCCCCTGTTTTATACAAAATGGGCATCTGGAAATACACAATGCCACCCTGGGGAAGGGTGGAGGGGGGAAAGAATTTCGCCGAACTATGTAGTTTAGCGATATTCTGATTTAGTTCTTATGATAAATTCTGGATTCACGAATGAATTAACCTAAGAGTTTGAATTAACTTATCTGTTAAGGCATTCTAGTATTTCTTAGAGACACCAAGGGTGAAATCCTGCACTTCCTGAGCTGCTTGGACATTTGCCACTGGGGTCAGGAAAGCCAGGATATCACTGATGTCTTCGGACAGAAAACGTTAGTGAAAAGTCTTAAAGCAATGTGTTAACAACAGCAAATCAACCTAATTGGAACTTTTACTTTTTCCATTGCCAGATGTGCATTATTGTCTTTTTTTTTAATTTTTCTTTTTTTTTTCTTTTTTTTTATAGAAAAAATAGAGTATTTAAGGAGTGACTGTGACAAATTGCAGTGATTTTTTTTTTTTTTTGTGAAAGTTATATCTTTACATTCATTAAAGTTGATCTGAAATGCTACAAGACTAGATGCCTAGAAGCAAAAACTACAGGAAGACTATAAAGGCTTCTGGTCTCTCTATATTGCAGTCAGTCTAAAGTGAAAGTCTGATATAAGAAAGTCTGAATCTCTTTTGCTAACTAGCCCATTTTCTCAACCAGATTTAAAAAATAAAAATATTAAAGGGGGTGTTAGAATGTAGAGAGCATCATTTTGTTGTTTTGTTTGCACACAGAACAAAAGTTCACAACTGGTAAGAAAAATAGGAAGTTAGCAACTGTGCATGCACCAAAGAGTCCTAAGAGAGTTCTCAGGGTTTTGTTTTGTTTTCACAGGCATCGCTAGTTCAAGAACCAACACTCAAAGAATACTGGCACTTAAGAGGAATGAAGTTTCCACTGTCATTTAAAACAAGCATTCAGGTAAAGCTAACAAGATCATAAAGCAGAAAATAAAGTAATGCTAAAACAAATGCTAATAATTTAGTGTAATGTACAAAAATTACTTAAGTACGTCTTAAGAATAAGGATAAATTGTATTTACATAATTATACACTTTGTCTTTGTCTTCTTTTTCTTCTTTTTACCATCTTTGCTCATCTTCTCTTTGTGTTTTCTGATTTCTCGAACTAACGTATAAAAGGCATCGTCAACACCCTGAAAAAGAGACGTACACGAACACATTGAGGTCACGTTAACAGCACCTACGTGCCCGCTAGGGCAAAGTCTGTTTCTTTCCTGACCTCATCAGGTGCAACGTGTTCGACGAGGAGCCTCTTGCGCTGCCTGCCAGGCCACCCGCACTGCCTGCTATTTGCTGCCTTTGCCCAGTGCCCTCCGAGGGCTGTTCACTGAGAGGGGCACCTACCTGGGGCCCTTCCCCAGCCGCTGGCTTGGCCACAAATAACCCGCTATGTGCAACGCCACCAACAAGGTGGCGGGGAAAAATTCCGTGTAGCGGCCTCTCCTCCGCTTAGCGGGGCGCGGGCTGCGTCACGCTGCAGACGCACAGACACCAAATGCTTAGATGACAGCTCCATCTCACACTAATACTGGCTTTCAGAACCGGGTTCGTGGCAAGCTTGGTTTACGCCATACTTCTAAAAAGACTAATGTTTGTGTAGCAAGAACTCACTAASCAAGAGAGAGTTATGATGAACCTACAGATTCAGCTCATTTCTCACACACACCAATATATTAATTATGCCACAGTTTTGCAAACTTCTACAGGAGCAAATCAATCTGATCAATTTGATTTATCAAATACTGTTTTATCATTGCAATACCTTCTAGTCAACTTAAATAATCAGAGATATATACAGCTTATTACCCATGATATATATATATATATAAATAATATATGTAATATATATTTTTTTCTGTCAGTTTCCTAAAATTTCACGGTTGCAGTGGTTGCATAACAGAAACAACGGTTTGTGTGTCTTCTTAGTGAAGAGTTTTCACTTTTAGAGGCAAGTTATACCTGACAAAAATTGACTCCAGTCAAAACATACCTAAAGCCAGTGCATCTAAGAGCCTAACGTGAATCACGGCCAAGTACAATGTTATAAGGTATATTCTGGAATGCCAAACAAGTTTGCCTCATGCCTATATTTTAATAGGTTGAAAATGGACAGTCTAAGGGRAAAAAAAAATCATTTGGCTATAGATGCAAGATGTCCTTTACTCTTCACTCCCTTCTTATATTGCCTTTTATATTGCCCATCAGAAATAGATGTATAATTTTAATGCATCACATGAGCAAACTGCACCACTGCAGAACTGGCTATGGAAATTTAGCAACTGAGAGGCAGCTTCTGACATCTCATCAGCTGCACAGTTTGCCTTCAAGCTGGCAATAAAAATTAACAGTCTCACTTTATTCTTGTACCTGTATGGAGGAACATAAATGGAGCTTAGGAAAAAAAAAAAAAAAAAAAAAAAAAAAAAAAAAAAAGGAGAAAAAAAAAAAAAAAAAAAAAAAAAAAAAAGACTTAGGAAAAAAAAAAAAAAAAAAAGAGAGACAAAAAAGGCACAAAAATAAGCAAACAAAATCTGATCTAATTCATTACTGTTTCAGTCAACCACCAAATGGGGATGGCTTTAACACTGAAAGCCTGAAAATCACAGAGGTGTTAGATAGTTATTCCTACAAAGTAAGTAGTTTCCTCAGTATAATGTAAAAAAAAAAAAAAAATCATATTTTAACTGCATAAATAAGTTTACAAATCATAGGTGTTTGATTGAAATCTTTGGCAGTCTACATTATCTCCCAATATTGGTACTACATTTTTGCAAGGCTTCATAATACACACAATGCACTTGCAAATGAGTTATTCTACGTTTTAAAATATTACTCAGAAATAAAATTGATGTATCCTGCCTCATGGGAGAGTACCTCTGGTTCTGAAAAATGCCAAGTGCACCATTAACCTTTTTAAGAATTAGAAATACTTATTTTTCAGTCAGCTAATGCATTTTACCTAAAACTTCAACATTAGGGCATAAAATGAAACATGTAACTGTTTCCATGGGAAATGATCTACCTAGGAATCATGACGGTTCAAAGGGCACCCACTGCAGTTGTCCCCTCAGATAGCCAAGTAGGAGGGAAGTATTAAGAATCAATCACAGACACTGTTTCATTCTTAGAACACAAGAACAGTATACATTAATAAAAAAAGAAAAAAAGAGCAATATTCTCCTATGAGASAGCGAGAGAGAGAATTCCTTCCTTACACAAACAACTTTCAGTAAATCACACTCATCATCATTAACACAATTTGGAAAAGTTTGCATTACAAGGACAGCCACTGGCCTTCAGCAGCATCTTCAAGTGCGGCACACAAAAAATGTAAATTGAAGTGTTCAGACAAGCATTCCGCCTTCATTAAACTGTTTTTAAAATAAATACAGAGAAAATCATTTGTACAAAATAATAGTCAGAGATTATGATGGCCCTTTAATTAAATATGGCATCACAATTACAGTCAAAATCTTCTAGTGCACCTCCTAGGGTACAGTACTAAATGAGGATACAATAACATTTGTATGTTGCAAAATACCAGGGAATAACTTAGTTTTCCTCTGTGTGCTTTCAAATTTGTAGATCTAGTCTTTAAAATGATGGAATTAGGTATTTACTAGTTTTGGTTCTGCCATAATCTCTCTTTAACCTAGGTAATAAATAATACAACACAACATACAAAAGTAGGTTTAAAATATTTCTAAGGTAGGACCGGAGACCTCAAAATAATGAAAAGTAAAAGAAGATCTCAGTTTAAGTGAATGAAATCCTAAATAAGGAATTAGAAGAGAGGGAGCAGAGTTGAATGGAAAAGGCAGTTAGTTTACAGAAGGTCCCTCCAGGCCTTCAGAGCTGCAAGACCGAAGGTGGCCAACCCTTCCACTAACAGGGGACTCTCTGCAGTAGCGGAGCTTTTGCACACAGGTTTTTGGAAAGCATCGGGCATGCAGAACAAGTGCTTTCAATGGAGGCTCGGGATTGGAAACTCAAAATTCACTGCACGTGCTCAGCACCTCCGTGAAAATGCCCTCACTCGCAAAGGCGGCAGCGGAGCAGGGTGCGGCCCCTGGGCAGAGCTCATTCCAGGCAGCCGGGGACAGCTGTGGAGCACGGAGGGAACRGAAGAAATCAGAACAACTCTGATTCTGTTCATTCCAGTTATTCTGTTCATTGCAGTTATAAATGAAACAGTAACAAAAGGATAACTAAAATGGCATCCCCTCAGCAGCAAAAAAATAAACTGAATATTCCAAGACATAGGAAATCACTTTGAACCATCGAATGTGACTACCTCCCATGTGAAAGGAAAACAAACAAAACCAGCAAAAGGGACTATTTTTGAAGTGTCAAATAGGACGACTTGCGTCTTACAAGATGCTCCTCTTAGCTCATCTGTTATACATTAGATTCAGCCAGAATATTTGTCTTCTTACTGAACGGAAAGTAAGACGAGCCAGATGCTTTTAGAAGAACCTATTGCTTATGCCACTAGGGTCCCTCAGTCACTATAAAWCTCCTCCAATATGACAAGAACTTTCAAATATGCCTTCTCCAGCTTAACCTCCTATTTATACCTATTTATGAAAAATTAACATTAGCTACTGATTCTTTTCCTGTTCTTTTTCCACACAGAAAATAGCCTCAGACATAAGCCTCTATCTAGATCTTTAAGAGTGTCCACTCAGGACACAAAATACTTCTCTTCAAACAAAAGTGGACAAAAGGCCTTTCCCCTAATCTGGGAAAAATAAGAGAAAAATATTTCTCTGGGAAGTAGGATGGGAGAGTGTGCAGCTTGGCTGGGCTACTGGAAAGATGTTTCCACCAGAAAATAAACTAAAATGATGCCATGGCATTTGCCTTCTCCCAAGCAAGCCCACAGAAAGGAAAGGCAGACAGAATTCAGGAGCCTTAAACTCCTGGCAGGACAGAAAGAAAGTCTTCCACCTACTTTGAGGTATACAACCAAGTGCTCACTTTGGTCTAGCAACTGGAAAGCTAYTGACATGGTTGTATTAGTAAGATCTAGTAAGGCAGCACAAAAAGTCTGTTCTCAGAAGGATACAGGAAAGAAGCTTATACAATTCAACTCATATTACCCTCATCAAAAGGGATCTGACCAAGCTGCTGCTGTTTTTTTTTATTTCAAGAGAACTTGGACAAAATAAATAAATAATCTGGAATATGTATAGGCCACTCTGGGAAACTCCCTAAGCTTCTAGTCTCCTGCAAATAAATGCTTTGATATCAACCATTATCACAAAATGTTATCTTTTAAACAAAAATCCTAAAAATTATCTCAGAGCCAACAAATAAAAGCCTAAAACTAAAAAGAATTTTGTGAGGCTGAGCAGGCCTACTTAAGTTTGATATGAAATAAAAATTTGTTTCTCACTGAAGGAAGGATACAGCTCTTACTAATGAAATAATCCAACAGCTGTGATAGCCTCTTTATAAGCCAAATTCTGCTGCCTTTCTGTAAAATATTCTAAGGTAAGCAGGAAAGAAAAAATAAATAGGCCTGAAAAAGTAAACCATTCTTTTTTGTTTGTTTTGGGACAAGAAAAATCCCAGATCCTCCTCAGCATGTATGTATATGAAAAGTAACAACCCACTTTCTGTACTGTTGCAGTCAGAAGTCAAGAACTAACATCACAGTAACATATGCAAAGAGCTATGTTGATAATTTGTTCAAAAAGCACTGGAAGTGACTTAGATCAGCACTTCTTCTATATTACAGTTTTTTCATTTCTTTTCTCTCTTCTCTTTTATTCTCAGAGTAGAAAGCATTGACTCTAAAGACTACTAAAGACTAGCTACAACTCTCTGGCTTTTTGTTTTGTTTTTGTTATTTTTCTATTGCTTCTTTCTTCTTCAATGTCTCATAAAAAATAAGCCCTTCAATTTTGTCCAGATCTGTATCACTAGTGGTGTTACACTTGGGGAGGAAAAAAAAAAAAAAAAAAAATAAAAAAAACAGCGTGAGCAGGAGCCTGCTCTAATGTGTATCTAGAAATGATAGCGCAAAATATTTCAGAGTAAGGTAAGAGTGGTGACATGTCATGAGGAACAGCTTGAGAATTAAGAATTTCTATATTTCAGCTGTTATCCAGATATTAACTGCTCACTT